AACATAGCCGTAGTGCGCCCTGGCGAAGGCCCAGACACCCGCGGCAAAGGCGCCGCCCAGGGCCCAGGTAGCAGAGTTGGTCGCGCTGCTACGGCCCTTGCCGAGCAACTTCTTGGCGGGGAAAGGGCTTCGCAGGAGCGGCTGGAGAAAAGCTGGGCGCACTCTCCATGGCAGCTCGCGCGATCAACTTGTCCGAGGCCACGATGCTGTTTTCCTTCATGACTGGGTGAGCCCTGGGTGGTCACTCCACTGTACACCATCAGCCGGATTCATACCGTACTTTCGCTTGCCTCGGAGGTCAATCACCTGCACGCGGCCCGTCGGGTCAACAGCTGCCCAAGACTGCCCCTTGCCACTTACCTTGGGCACCAGCAGCATGACGACCCCCGGCGTACCGTGCAGCCCCGTCCTCGCATAGACCCCATCCTACTCTTCGTGCTCTTCGTACCAGTATCCAAGGTGTGTTCTCGCACCCCCTCTTACTAGCACTCCAGGGCGCCATCCTCCTGCTCTTCGTGCAAGTGTCCAAGGAACTCTCGCCCTCAGCCCAGGCGAGCTCCGTACCCTTTCTTGGCCCCTCGAAGCTGGGCGCTTCGGCGGCCTCCTCCCCGACGTTTCCCACTTGCTGCCAAGATGATCCGAGAAGCCCAGGAGGGCGAGGCCTGCAAGGAGGTAGGCTTTGGAAAACGTGGCGCCTGCGCCTCGGTCAGCCGCAGACTGGCCCAAATTGTTTGTCAGAAAACTTGCGCGCGCGAGATAGCACACTCATGGCCTGTGTGCGCACCAACGCACGTGCACCTGGGCAACAACAGACAAAACGGCCCCGCACCATCAGACCGCCCTCCACCTCAGGGCACAGAAAAGTGCGTTGGGTGAACTCGCATTATTTGTAGTTGCATATCGGGCCAAGACTGGCAACCTGGGGGGGCCGTGCTTTACCCCACTTTGTTGACCGATCTCCTCGAAGGTGCCCACAAAATGGCCTCCAAAGCTCCCAGGAATGTCCAGAGAGGGCCCAAAGAGGCGCCCAGGAAACTCTAATACGCCCCCAGGAGGTTTCCAAAAGGCTCCCGAGAGACCCGGCCCAAAGAGTGTTCACAGGCACCAAAGACGTTCTCAGAGGCCTCCCCAGGCGCCCACACAGGATTCCAAAAAATATTCCAGAGACGTTCAAGAGATATCCAAGAGGCCTCTAGCTACGCTGCTCGCCCTCCTCCTCCTCCTCCTCCTCCTCCCCGTATTCCTCCTCCTCCTCTTCCTCCTTGTGCCGGGTCCTCCTCCTTCCTCCCTTGTTTCCCCCTGTGCTCCTCCCCCTCTTCCTCCTCATCATCGTTTATCCGATGTGTAATATTATGTAGATTAGTGTTTGGACAACTGTTCTTATTCGCATTCGTATCACCATTAATAGTGTTCATGTTATTAGTTTCGTGCTGATATTATTCTTATCATGGTAAGTATTACATGTGGCTGTTGTGTTATATTCCGTTTCGTATTACAACTAACATCCAAATAACATGTGCCCTTAATCCAAACCCCACGAATTGGTCCGTTGCCCCCCTAATTCCTATGCCCCCCCCCCATAGTTTATATGTCAATTCCTATGTTTATGCCTATCCCCCACATGCTTTCCAATGGCCCCCCCCCTTTGTGGATGCCTGTTTGTTTGTTTGCGCGCTTGCTTGCTTGCGCGTTTGTTTGCTTGCGCGCCTGCACGCTTGCTCGCGTGCTTGCTTAAGTGTCTGCTTGCTTGCTTGCTTGCTCGCGCGCTTGCTTGCACGCTTCCTTGCTTGCTGAACTGCGGATTCCAAGCATGCTCGACGCCTATGGTTCCTTGATTTGAGCCGCCTGGTAGAGTAGGAGTCAACGCGGGCTGATATCGTCATTCGTAGCATTATTGCACGTCACAAATGTATTGTTTCTGTTATGGTTATGAGAAAGAACTGCGGTTATTCGTATTTTTCGCATTCGTCATATTAGTGTAGTGAGTCGTCTCGTCAAGTTTTATAAGTGTTCCTCTCCCTCCGTCTCCTCCGTTTCCTCCTCCTCCTCCTCCCCTTCCTTTTCCTCCTCCGGTTCCTCCTCCATCCTCCGCCTCTTGGGGTACGACGGTTTCAACAGCCAAATATTCCAACGCATGTTCTTCCACGCCCCTGATCAGGGCCAATTCGCCTGGGCATCGTTTCTAGACAGGCTGGTGTAAGCGAAGCGTCTGGAATCCTTCACGCATTCCTTGCGCATGGCCTTTTGGCTGGTGGAGCAGGCGTGCGACCTGGTAACCTGATTCCGCTACGATTGTTGGTTTATTCAGCCGCCTTTACTCTGGATCTCACTTCTTTCCTTCCTGCCGCTCATAATTCCCCTGCGTGTTTTGACGCGCGCGCAATCGAGTCATGCGCCACCCCGCCGACACGCACCGAAACCGCACGGTCCAACCCCATGCCTACGTTGCACCTCCCAGCTCGCCTGCCGCGGACAACGATGGCGCTCGAGCCGCCAGGCA